ATTGAGACGGGAAGGTGGCACAACACACCAAGATCTGATAGATTGTGTCACCTTTGCGACTCAGTTGACATCGGTGACGAATACCATTATATTATGTCTTGTAATTTTTTCAAAGACGATAGAAACAAATATTTACCGCAATACTGTAATTCTAATGTAAATGTTATAAAATTTAAACAAGAGTCAAGTATACTCAAATCGAAACTGTGTTGAACTTGAGAAACTCTGTAGATTTATTAAATGTATTTCTGTGAAAGTCTATCCTCCTGGTTAAAACAACTATTGTATATTAATTTATCTTTTGTCCAAATATATATTTATAATATTAATTAACAATATTCTGTATTTCACACATGCTATATTCAATATTTGTTATTATTGTAATATTTCTTCTCTGTAACTATGTATTTGGTTTATGAGAATAAAGATCATTCATTCATTCAATAAAAATGTTAAGAACAGGGGCGGGTCATGAATTTCTAAAAGGCGAAAATGTGAAACTAATTAGTGCTTATCGGAGCGAGTCGAACATTTTTTGGGACGATTTTATTCTAAAGAAAATCATATATTTTCCATTTAAACGGGGTACGCCCCATCTGAATCCGCCATTGAAGAATTCCCCTAAATCTTCTGTATCGTTGATCGACATAATCAGGAAAACGTGAGCGTTCCAACAGATCAATCGGGACACCGAGGTGAGGTACGAAAGTCACGCAAGGTGTTCCGATATATATTTTTATGTTACAAGAGTTCAGGTGACCAAGATATTAATCTGTTGAATTATTCATGTCATGAATATTCATTAGTTATGTGTATATAGTTTCAGTGTATATTTTTGAAATCTCAGTGTGTATTTTTGAAATCTTATTGTGTATTTTTTAAATCTCAGTGTGTAATTTCAATTCTCAGTGTGTGTTTTCAGATTATTTTATCTCAGTTTGTATTTTTTAATTCACACTGTGTATGTTTTAAATCTCAGAGTGTAATTTTCACTTCAAGTGTGTGTTTTTGAGATTTTTAATCTCAGTGTTTTTTTTTTTAATATCAGCGTGTAAATTTTTCGAAAAATGGTTTAAACATAGTTTTGACGCGAAAACGGCTTGCCATAGATAGTGGGGGCTGGCTTTAGTCAGACGGAGAACAAATTAATAATATTATAATATACAGCTTCTGCAAGGTAGGTCGACGGGAGGAAGGGCGAAACATTTGGACTGCCACTGGAAAATGGCAGTATGTTGCCGCATTCCATCTATACGGATTCATTAGAGATTTGTTGTAAGGTAAGAGTGCTAAGAATAATCTATTCGGGTTAGCCATAATCCATAATATTAATCGTTTCCTAAAATGTACCCCAATTCATCTCATCTAACCCTGCGCACAATATTCAGTATGCTTATTTGTCACATACCTGACGGTTACCGGACTATCGAAAACTATAATACATAACCGTAGATGACAAGTCCGACGTGAATCGAAAAAAACTTATTTGAGTAAACTTTGAAAAGTGTTAGATCTTAATCATATAACATTCAAACTTGGAATAACTAGTCAATATATTGCATGTATGTCACAGATTCAAAACCCTCGTATGCGTAATAGAAAATTCTTCGTGATAAATATAGCCACTTTTACGATATCAACCAATCAGAATCTTTGTATGCTATCGCCTATTTCCGTCGAATCCATCCTGTCTATGTTTATATTTGTAAATTGTTAATAGCCAGTGTTAGGGTTCATGTGCATTGCATGTTAAAAATTGATGCCTATATATATGCAGTGCCAATGTTAAAAAATAAACAAACATGATGAATCAGCAAACTCTGATCCGTGAAAGTTTAAAAATGTTTGGCAAGCACTTACAAGTACTTGTCGTGCTAGTGTTCAACTGATTACAAAGCTCTAGTGAGATTTTTCAGAGAAAATCATCCCTGGAATGCTAGAAAGAAGAGACCCGTACCCAAGCTGAGAGAAATACTTCAATGACAAAATTTTACCTGCAAAAACAAGCTATCGTGAATTATATATTTTATTACAATCTAATTTATTAATGAACAATAACCATTCTTTTGCTTTTCCACAAACCTGCAAATATAAAATATATATAGTTGTTAAAACTGTCAAAAGTCCGAGATTTTTTTTATAAATTTGATTTGAACTGGATTTCAGAAAAAAAAGTCTTTAACTGGAATATAAGACGACCCTGTCAACTGTGAAAAAAATACCGACGTATCATGCGAAAATTACGGTAATCACTTACACTGCAAAAAAACCCAAAAATGAATAAATGAATAAGGCATTCCCTCAACATTCTAAGGCTGCTCATGAAATACATTCAGTGGTTGTCTTTGGTTACTGTCTACCATATATATTTTTGTTAATTGTTTTAATATAAATCAGGCAGTTGGTATTCTCGTTTGAATTGCTTCCCATTTTGTCATGCCCTTCCCTTTATAGCTAACTATACGGTTTAGGTTTTGCTCATTGTTGAAGGCAGTAAGGTGATCTATACTTGTAAACATCTTTGACATTTGGTTTCTGGTGGATAGTTATCTCATTAGTAATCATACCCTATCTATGTAGTTCAATTGATAAACAAAAAAAGCGTGCTTGCTTGAACATCACATGCAGTTTAAATCAGAAAACAATCTAAAGAATTTATATGCGGCTCTATGTATTTTTTTTTAAGTGAAGATTTTAGGTAAAAAAAATCGATACTTTATTTCTTTCAAAATTATTTCCCAGATAACACAAACAAACAATGAAAAAAGAGAATAATAAACTACTAGTACTCAAGCACAAACTGATTCATTCAGTCTAGGTGTTAGAGAAGCACAAAACAGGTCTCCGCATTTATAGTTATAGATTATAAGGAATCTTGTCAAATGAATATTTGTCATAAATGTGTGACAGAGTCTTCGTAAATATAGGGTCTTCATAATTTTAAATTGTAGAGCTTATTGGTTATTTCAGGATAAGAATTCGGGTCATTTTAGTACTCTTGCCATTCAGTCTCAGAGAATGTCATTGTCTTTTGTCGATGTTCTGGCAAGGCATGTATAGCTTCAAACTAAAATATAGATGTTCCCAGGCCATAAGCTAACTATTTACGTATTTTTTTTAATTGTTAACGATTTCAGTTTCTTTGACATTTATAATTTCTAACTTATGTTTACCCCGTTTAAAAGAGTTCTATTTAAGAATATTTTCTTAACTTCTCAGAGTGGCACTTGTATTTCAATATCATAAGATACGATAAAGTATCTAACTGCACAGGAAATATATATAAACCCTAAAATTCCATTTCCCCTATCATATCAACTTAAAAACGATAATTCAAACCTGGATAAAGCAAGATACGATTTTTGTCGAGCCTTCGACTTTAGTCGAAAAAGCGAGACATAGCGATCCTACATTCCGTCGGCGTCGGCGTCGTCGTCGTCGTCGTCGTCGTCGGCGGCGTCCACAAATATTCACTCTGTGGTTAAAGTTTTTGAAATTTTAATAACTTTCTTAAACTATCCTGGATTTCTACCAAACTTGGATAGAAGCTTGTTTATAATCATAAGATAGTATCCAGAAGTAAATTTTGTAAAAATAAAATTCCATTTTTTCCGTATTTTACTAATAAATGGACTTAGTTTTTCTGCCAGTAAATATTACATTCACTCTGTGGTTAAAGTTTTTAAAATTTAAATAACTTTCTTAAACTATCCTGGGTTTGTACCAAACTTGGACAGAAGCTTGTTTATGATCAAAAGCTAGTATCTAGAAGGAAATTTTGTAAAAAAATAAATCCATTTTTTCCGTATTTTACTTTTAAATGGACTTAGATTTTCTGCCAGGAAACAACATATTCACTCTGTGGTTAAAGTTTTTAAAATTTTAATAACTTTCTTATACTATTTTGGATTTGTACCAAACTTGGACAGAAGCTTGTTTATGATCAAATGCTAGTATCTAGAAGGAAATTTTGTTTTCTTCCAGTTAACATTACATTCAGTCTGCAGTTAAAAGTTTTTAAACATTTATTAGATTCATAAACTATCCTGGAATTTTACCAAACTTGGACAGAAGCTTCTTACAATCAAAAGATAGTATCAAGAGGAATATTTTTATTGATTTACTTCCTCATTTTTGTTGAGCCTGCGATTAACAGAAAAAGTAGGCGAGACACTGGGTTATGCGGAACCCTTACGAATTTTTATGTTTCAGGAAATATAAATTCGAATGAATATCCAGATTCAGTAGTTGTGTCTATTCTGACGAAAAGTGAGTATAAAAATTAGAAGTGATTCAGAAATTTAAATAAAAATGATTTTAAAAGAAAGGTATCTTAAAAATAAACAGCATGGTAAAATTGCCAATGAATTCATGGTGCCATTTTAGAAGCATGGAATAAGTTAATATTGATTTGCAAATAACTGAGACAGAAGTAATGAACAAAAAGAAAGTTTATAGACTATAGCAAGGTGATCCTGCTTAATATAAATGGACGACCAGACGGCGCGTATAAAAATATACATTTGGTTGTTTTTTCATTGATACATACCCTCATCCCCTTTTATTCATACATACCAATGCATTCTTTTGATATTTTTTTGTGTATTTGATTACCTAAGGTTATTTTTTCAACCAGGAATTCCACTCAATACTACTGCCAAAGACCCCATACCAAATCCCTGTTCCAGATTGAATCTGCAATCAGAACAGTTCTACACTAATGTGACTATTTGGAAAGGGCTCGAAGCAAGCAAGTAAACTAATGATTTAAAATGATTACTAATTGGGCATATACCGGACAGGAAGAAGAACTTTTATACAGAATCTAACGGGTATCTGGATCTAAAGGTCAAATTAGTTTAATCTACTGCATACTAAGCATTAAGTTTTAGAAATAAAATTCACCTTGGACGCCCAATGACAAAAGTTTGAGAGGCCAACACTTGTGAAAATTTCAAAAGCGAGAAACAAACAAACATTCAGAAGCGGACACAAAATATAGACAAAACCTACTTCTATTCACTTTGCTTAAAGAATTTAATCTATGATTTGGTATATAAAAACAACATTAAAAAATCAATTTTCTTTGTTGCATGTAATTTGCTTGCTACACGTGAAAATCGAATTTTACCAGGAGCAAAGCAAATTTATTTACAATACTAGCTCATTTTATATAGAACATATGGGCCGGATAAACATCGCTGTGACCGCAACCCATCGTCACAATTTCAACAAAAGTAACCACACAAACTTAATCGTCATTAGTTTAGATAAGTTATGAATGGTTTCATTAGAGACAAACAGAGATCCGACATCAGCTCTTGTATATGTATAAACTATTTATTTTCATTGTTAGAATATGTTTGTACCTGTGATTGTAAAGATACGTCAGCAACTGTGAACAAAAGCATCAGTAAGTTTACCAAAAATCTAAATGTATTCAGAATCACTGTACAAGAAAAATATTTGTCTACAAAGCTGCGATAATCGGCTGCATTCAAAACATAAAAAATGATGCAGAGCAAATAATATGCATTTAATTCTGACATAACATTGCAAAATCAGGTCTTTAAAAAACCGGCTCTAGAAATCGGCATTCATGACCAAAAAACTAATTTTCAAAATGTTCTTAACTTGCTGTTCGGTGTGAGCCAAGGCTCCGTATTGAAGGCCGTACTTTGACCTATAATTGTTTACTTTTTACATATTGTGACTTGGATGGAGAGTTGTCTCATTGGCACTCATACCACATCTTCTTATTTATAATTATCATCAAAGAAAAGAGATTTGTGAAAGTATAACAATAGAGTCTCTTTTTATCTTACATGTACACCGTACACCGTACAGGAAAACTAAGTACAAAAAAATAATTACAACTTACAAACAACTGTATCAAATGATTGTGTAAATGCATTGTACAGCGAATTCAACCAAATAGCAAGTCTAATTATGCAGTCACTAAAGATCGACAAAAGTGCGTCAAACTGTTAGAATGATGAAAGATAAATTGAGGCCATAGAATAAATCACATGCATGATAAGCCCTTTCCTCAAGAACTATAACTCTTCAATAAATATGAAAATAAACTTTATAAATTTCGTGCGTCCGAAGCGTTTCTTGGTTTGCCATCATCAGGAACTCTAAAACCTAAAAGTTTGATATCCAAAGATGTATAAGTATATGAACACATGAAGAGCTATATGACCAAAAGATGATCTATAAAGAATAGCCAAATCCATCTATGATCAACTTTGCCTGAAGGAGTTGGAACCCTAGTTTATTAATAATTTATAAATTTATTAACGAAGAATTTAGAAGATGTTACAAATGATGTCCGGACAGAAGCACTGAACACTGAGTTGATGATACCCTCGAATAGTCAAATTGTTTCTTTGAGAAAAGCATTGAACCTCGACAAAATCGAAATGGTGGTTACTGAACTTATCTGAAGATTGCAACAACAAACAGTAAACATAATGAAAAAAAGCTACGATATTCCATTAAAAAAATTTTGGGTGTTCATGCGACACGTGCGACATACCAATGCTACGTACGTCGTTGAATGCCAAAACAAATAGTTTGTAACATCTAGTTGCCTGTCGTAAACTTGTCCTGTAATTATATATATGTATATGTATATGTATATGTATAAAAGTCTAAATTGAAAACAACGTTCAAACCTATGATTTCGTTGGATAAAAACCGCAATTTTTATACGTGTGCATGTAAAACAAATTTCTTGGTAGAGGGGTCTAAATACAGCACAACAATTTCCAAAAAGACCAAAAAAGTGAAAAAGTCTATTTTAACAAAACGCATTTGACTAACAGGTCGAACAACTGATGTTCTTAAACCCTGCTGAATCCTAAATTGATCACCAGATCTTACGAAATGGATCTTAATATTAATTAAATACCAAACAGAAAACAATAAATTTGTAGAAAAGATGGTATACCACAAACATGAGGTGCAAAAATTTGTACACCATATCCGGATTTCGACAATTAATGTCTCTTCAGTGATGTTAGGGATCGAAACGGTATTTGGAAGGCCATATAATTTACCTCAATTTAGGATAGACTCTTGAATTTTAAAGAGTCGAAATAGGATGAACGGATCATGTAAACCCGACGGAAAATATAATACAAGCCCAAACGAAAAAATATATAACAGTCTAAATTGAAAACAACGTTCAAACCTATGATTGCGTTGGATAAAAACCGGAATTTTTATACGTGTGCATGTAAAACAAATTTCTTGGTAGAGGGGTCTAAATACAGAACAAACAACAATTTCCAAAAGACCAAAAAAAGTGAAAAAGTCTATTTTAACAATATGACATGTATATTATTAAATTGTATATATATTATTAAATTGAATTACATACCTAGATGTATTTTCATGTGTCATTTAGCACTATTAAACATTTCTAAAGTAGATACTATAGACTGTAACATAAAGTTTTTGCTATATATTCCAGATGAATCTCAGTTAAGGTTACCCTGTGACTGTATGTGCGACGTATATTCCGTTGTATTCCCAGCCATTGGTTCGTCAGACCTGAATAAGATTATTTTTGATTTAAAAAAATCATTATCTATTCCAAAACCTTCTTTAACAGGTAGGTATTAAAATTTACACTTAAAAGAACCACAAAGAACAAAATGACTATACAGAACAGCCAAAAACCGTCTAAGATCAACTTTGTCGAAGATAACTTGCAACCTTAGTTTATCACATTATTTATAAATTGAAATCTGATAGTCAAAATGTAGTAAATTCGTGCAAGTTCAGATCACTGCATAAATGGCCAATTGTTCTAATTCCCTGTATTTGTTTCACGCACATGATCAAAATCTAAAAGTTGTCAAATCCTGATGGAAATTGAATACTAAAGGGTCTAAATTATATACTTAAATAGTGTTTCACATATTTCCATAAAATCAAAAAGCTCTTCGGCGCTACATGTTGCTGTTAAAGGCATTTTGAATTAAAATTGCAAATTTTACATGTATTTGTCAAATTTTGCATCGAAAGACATCGCTATCCACAATAAATTAATTTGTCTCCGAAAGACAATACATAGCTTTACTTCTAACAGTATTTTGGTTCCTTCCTGTAAAAACACTGAAAAATTGCAAAATTTGCGGTTTGGGAATTCTAATGGTATTTATTATTTGATAACATGTTTAGAAATAAGCCAAGGTATTGTTAACACCTTAAAGTACACATATTTGGCTATGAAAATACGAATTAATATATAAAAGAAAGCATACTAGTAATTCTACAATTTTCAAAATAACAAAAAATTGAGTTGTACTAAAAAAAGTAAAATAACAAATGTATGCAAAAATTATAAATACGATTTTCCTTACGCACAACCTTTGCAAAAAATGGAGAAAAAAAATTATCGAATCAATAATTTAAATTTTTTCCGAATTATTTATTTTAATTTTGTTTTATTTAACGATCAGAAAACGACAGAAAATGCAATAATTATAAAACATTACACATTTGTTTCTTGATATTGTATTCTGTCTATTGACTAGCTTACCGTCGAAGTAAGAAGAGCATCTCTGATCAAAGACCAGAAACTGTAGTGATGGGATCGTTTGCTGTCATGATACTGATCCTCTGTGCGTTATTAATATTTCTCCTAGATATTGGCAATTGGAGAAATGTCAAGCGTCGGATGAAAAGAAAGACAAAGAAAGCTTTAAGAAGGGCTTAATAGATGTGATAGAAAATTATAAGTACAGTACATAAACAATAACACCATCGATTCATATGCGCCTGTATCGCGTACCTACCCAAGTGTAAATAAGAGTTATCTAGTTATTCTGACATCTTGATTTCATCTCGATTCCTGCATTAATAAATCAACATTTTCATACTTGTTTCTTAAAATTTAAGTGATTTACAATTCTCTAAACCATTGCTATTCAATAAAATCCTATCTTAATCCAAGGATTTACAAATCCTTGCTTAATCATTGTGAACAGTTTTCTTATATGAGTTCCTGAAATACGCTCGTGTTACATACAATTATTAATGTGGACATTTTGGGAATAGTATATCAAAGTCGGATAGGAATTCGCAATACCAAGCTTGTCTTTGGGCACTCACTATTTGAGAACAAAAATGCAACCAAAACCCCATTAAAAAAAAAGAACAAAGAAAAAGATTCTTTATACCATGAATAATGTTGGCATGTGTAAAAAAAAAGTCGCATTTACTCCAGGGATTTTGAATTACGTCATTTAAAAGGGTCTGGGTGGGGTTTACAGAATAGAGAATAATGGACAAAAAGTGCAGAATAAATGGCTAAAAATTAAAGATGAGAAAAATAGAAGAAATAATACCTAATTAAAGGACTCCCAATCCAGACCATCATTTAAAGACGCACAATGTATGGTATCTTCTATTAGATTGATAAAATTCAAATAAAGACGACCGTATATTACTTTGGAAAAGCAATAATTATAACATTAAATTTTACTGGAATAGTTGAAAGAGCCAATAATTTTCATCGAAATACCAAAATTAGGTTAGTCCAAACAACTTCTTAAACAGACCTTTTATGATGAAGTATTTCCAATTTCACATATTAATTGCTATTCCAAAAATGCATCAATTGTACTTCTAATGCCATATTCATAAGTTGTTTTTAAAAATCCTTTGTATAAAATTTTTTGCATCAATACCAGATTGCTGTTTCATTTTGTTTTTATCAATTTTCTTTCGCACTAAAATGACCTAAAATCAATTTTTTTTAATGAGCATTTTTTTTTTTAAAACTTGACCAAAAGTTTTATAAAAATCATTTTATTCAAAACAGCGAGAAAATCCCGCACACGGAGGCGGGCTTCAGCTGGCCCCTAAACAAAAATGTGTACTAGTTCAGCGGAAATGGACGTCATACTAATCTCCGAAATATATAATGAACCAAAATCAAAAAAACATACAAGACTAACAATGGCAAGAGGCTCCTGACTTGGGACAGGCGCAAAAATGCGGCAGGGGTTAAACATGTTTTGTGAGATCTTAACCCTCCCCATATAACTCTAGCCAATGTAGAATAAACAAACACACACCTATACACACAGTAAAACTCAGTTTAAAAGAAGTCCGAGTCCGATGTTAGAATAGGTAAAAGAAGAAACTAAGCAAAATAATAATGATACATAAATTAACAAAGGACTACTAGCAGTTACTGACATGCCAGCTCCAGACCTCAATTAAACTGATTATGCCTTCATCATATGAAAATCAAGCACAATCCCTCCCGTTAGGGTTTTACTGTTTCTGTCGTCAGTCTGCATACGTTACAAAATCATTAATGAACATTATCAGTCCACTTTATGGAAAAATCTATCCAAACTTCAAACAAGATATCAAATTACCGACTTGCTGTTGATGTGATATATTTAATATTTCACCAGTTATTCATTTGTTAATACTTTAACAGGGTTATCGAAAACCAAAATTGCCAAACTAGAATTCACATTGTGCACTAACTATTTGGTCCATAACTGTATTATGTTATCATTTTTACAGAGGATGACCTTCAGGTCATTCCGATGTATTGCTATCGCCTAAATTTCCATTATGCAAATTAGTTTTGGGATTTCAACCGATCTATAAAAATTATAGATCCGCGGTCATTACAAGGGAAAAAAGTGCATTTTTATACCTGCGATTCCGTTTTCCGTTCGTACGATATTTCATCAAAAAATGGAATCATTTCAGTTGTTGATTTAGTACTGAAAATTTGACTGAATTATCTCCTTTTAAATACGGTTTTATATGTTTAATTGGTGTTTAAGAAAGAGGGCAGGTTCTCATGTTCATTCATAAAATTATCGTTCATTCATTCATGAATTTATCGTAAAATCAAAATCACTACACAGGTCACACAGGTTGTATACGTAATGTCAAATGATTACCTGTAATCTAAAAATAAACAAACTTAACTGACTCCCCTTACTATAGTGTGTGATAACATTTTGTGAGGAAATTCGATGTTTGCTATACCACTGTTCATTTCAACGCACTTTATGACGATACCACTTGATCAATATGAATGAAATTTTTTGCAGTGTTTTAAGAAATAATTTTACTTTAAAATCGCGTATCATTTGTGAACTATTAAATGTTTTACAAGGACGAATTTTCTGTATAAAGTCAATAATTGTGTGAACTTTTGAAGCCCAAACTTTTTATAGCCTTAAATACGCTAATGAAAGATCCGAAAACTATACCCATACAGAACGACATGTTTTTGAAATTGTAGCAAAACTTTTGGTTGACAAATTTTAATTCGTTATTGCATAAATATTAACTTGAAATATCTGTCATTTTCTCCCTACTAAGTTTACCCCTATTACTCATTATGATGTGGACTGGACATTGTTATTGAATCTTATGCAATTTGATTGGATTAAGTTATTACTAGATTCATGCTTTTTTCGTACGAGTATATCGATTAAATCAGAGCGTGCATGAATGTGTAAAGTAAATTAAATGACCTGCAAACTGGACACTGGACCAGTCCATATTACGTTTTATCAATGAATAGATTTTTTTTTTTGTATTTTCCAAATTACAGGGCCCATAAAGGGCATAAAATCAGATACAATTGATTTACATAATTGGTAACAACAACAATAATAGCGGCATATGAATAGGTATGAAAGGTAACAATTGCCACTTTTTATCTTTTCACATAATTTTCCACATACACATTAGATAAATTATTTTTGATAGCCTATTGCGGAGAAAAAAGAGAAAGTTTACTGTATTAACGTTCTATTCCATTAAATACGCCATTTTTCGCAGAAAAACATTTTATGCACGGCTACGCCAGGTAAAATTGTTGTTTATCCTAACAAAAAAATACAATTTTCAGTTTCATTAGAATATTATAATAATAATAAATCCCAAATTTATGTAGTCATTAGATAAAGTCCTTATATGTCCGATCTGCCTATTTTTGGACATCAAAAGACAATACGATCGTTTTAAGGTCAATTTCGTCTACCTCACACAATCTTGTTAGGCACTATAATGAAATGGACCTGAAATTTATTTCACATGTTTCCTGAAAATTGATAAATATCAAAGCAACATAGAGCTATTTGTTCTAGTTCGTATAATGACAATTTAATGTCATGTTTGTTTGTGATGACCCCCCTTTTCGGGATTGCATCAGAATTATAGTTATCTCGTATCGCATGAGGATGACACATATCAACTGAGCAATTATGTTTGGGACTTAGTTTTAAGAAATGATGTCAAAGTAACATTATGAAAATATTTTTAGTAAGCTGAAATATATTTTTATTTTTTACATATTTATGTCTTGTAAGATATTTTATTTCTTGCCCGTTTTTCAACATTTGCGTCTGGAAAGTTGAAATGTTTTAACTGAATGGTTAATTTAAATTAATTATGAAAATTGTTAAAATTAAATCAATAAAGGAAATTATTGCCCAGTTAAAAACACTACCAGGGGACAATCCATATTGATTTTTTTTAGTTATATGTTTCAGCACATGTATAATTAACCCCAACTTTAGCCTGGTAAACTTGTTGTCTCCTTGTGAAATATAAAACATATTTAAAATGATTTCCTGCTAAAGTCTTTTATTGATATAAAGTTAAAACCGTCTTGCTTCTCACTAGTCAACACTCCTGTCCTGTCAGGTTTAATTCTTATATATATGGATGAAAAATAAAAGTCCACAAAGCATTAACATGGCAGCAATTGCTTTTACAGCCTTTAAGGCTTTGATTTTTTTTACAGAAGAGTGTCCACCATGCACTTGCACTGCACTATAATAATAGTAGAATAGAATGATATACAAATAGATGAAAATTATATATATACATGCAACCGTAATATTAATATAATATATAACAACAAACCAGTGTATTCTCTGGAACTATTATTATATTAGTATAATAGTCTAAGGTATACTGATTTGTATCACTACAATATAATAGTTATTACGGTGAGGTTGAATTTCCTGTCATTTATTCATCATCCAAGCAGGAACTTGTATCAGAAAAAAAAATCTCTGTAAATTAACCTCAGTTTCAGGTATAGAGATGTGATCTGTTTCTGTGACATGTGCTTTTGACCATACACAAGAACCTGTGGTCATCCGATGTTCAGTACTTCAGTACTTTGATTTACTATGCCAGAGCACCTGAGATTACCTCTAGTTTTTGGCGGGGTTCTTGATGCCCAGTCTTTTGTTTTTTATGTAGTATTTTGTAGACGATTTGATCTTTCGTTTTTTTTGTCATGGCGTTGTCAGACTTACGAGTTTTAAATGACCCCTTAGTGTCTTAATTCCGCCTCTTTTTAATTGACAGGATAGGAAAGGGCAATTATACTGTCGGAGAAAATGTGTTCATTGACACAATGACGGTTGAATCTTATAGTATTGACTTAGTACATGTACAAGTGGTTGGGTGAATTTGGTTTAAACGGTGTGCCAATCTCTAAGCATGGTAGTCACTTTGATGTCCAATTTTGTATGACCGACGCGTGTTTCATCCAAATAAGACTGATCAGTGACACTCGAATCAAAATATTTGGAAGGCCATTTACAAAGTTGAAGAGCATGACAAACTGAAAAT